TAATTGTTCAACCTCGTCATCCCTTGGGGCACTCTGGTGATCAAATGTTCCTCCAGATACTGGTGGTCGCCCCTGATAAACTTATAGGTGGCCATCAGCTCACCCCTGAGTCTGTGCTTTTCCAGGCTAAAGAGCTCCATGGATCTCAGCCTGTCATTGTAAGGTCTGTTTTCCTGACCTCTGGTCATGCACGTGGCTCTTCTCTGAACTCTCTCAAGCTTCTCCACATCTTTTTTGACCTGTGGAGCCCAAAACTGGATGCAATACTCTAGCTGCAGCCTCACCAAGGCTGAGTACAGTGGGAGAATGATGCCCTGGGATTTGCTTGAGAAGCATCTATGGATGTGGATGCAAGCCAGTGTTTTGCCCACTTTACCACTTTACTAACCGCAGCATCACATTGAAGGCTCATGTTCATCTTGTGGTCAATCATGACCCCCAAGCCCCTTTCATCCATAGTGCTAGCCAGCATAGCACTGTGAAGCCTATAAGGATGCTGAGGGTTTTTCCTCCCAAGGTGGAGAACCTTGCATTTTTCAGTGTTAAACACCATCAGGTTCTCATCTGCCCATTTGCTGAGCCTGTCCAGGTCAGCCTGGATCGCCCTCCTGTCCTCTGGTGTGGATGCTTTTCCCCCAAGTTTGGTGTCATCGGTGAACTTGGCCAGTCCGCTTCTGACTCCAATGTCCACATCATTAATGAAGATGTTGAACAATACAAGATAACAAGGACTAACGGCCACAAGTTGTTGGACAGTAGATTTAGATTAGACATCCGTAAGAACTACTTTACAGTTAGGTCGGCTAGGATCTGGAACCAACTTCCAAGAGAAGTGGTGCTGGCTCCTACCCTGGGGGTCTTTAAGAAGCAGCTCGGTGCCTATCTGGCTGGGGTCACTTGAGCCCAGTTTTCCTCCTGCCCAGGCAGGGGCTCGGACTTGAAGATCTACAAGGTCCCTTCCAACCCTACTTCTATGATTCCATGATTCTATGATAGGTCCAAGGACAGAGCCTTGAGGGACCCCACTGGTCACAGAGCACCATGATAATTGACTTCTATCAACCACCACCCTCTGGGTCTGACCACAGAGCCAATTCCCCAGTCAGCAGATCATGGTCTCCCTCATGAGTAGTAGATATGCTGACCAAAAACTTGTGAACACAAGTCCTGTGTGGGTGCTGCCATTAATATATGCTGTACAAGTTTTGCCTACACTGACACTGGTATATGGGCTGGTAAGAAGAGAAAGCCAGAGCCAGCAGGGCTAAGCAAGGGAAATGCTGGCCATTAGCCATTAGCAGGTACGTGTCACATGCTATAACAGACAGCCCAACCACAGCTAACTGCCTAGGTGGCCACACCTGTCTGGGGGCTCCAACTGGCAGTCCTACCCCAGCTAATAAACCCACTGGCCACAGTCTGAGTCTCCTAAGTAACATCTTCCCCATTTAGCCCCACCCATGGCACCAGGTCGCAGGTGAGCCAACAGGTCTTCTGCAGGTCTGTTGGGGCAAGCCTCTCATAGAATCATAGAAGTCGGGTCGAAAGGGACCTTGTAGATCTTCAAGTCTGACCCCCTGCCTGGGCAGGAAGAAAACTGGGCTCAAATGACCCCAGCCAGGTAGGCATCAAGCCGCTTCTTAAAGACCCCCAGGGTAGAAGCCAGCACCACTTCCCTTGGATGTTGGTTCCAGATCCTAGCCACCCTGACTATGAAGTAGTTTCTATGGATGTCTAATCTAAACCTACTCTCCAACAACTTGTGGCCATTAGTCCTTGTTATCCCGGGGGGTGCTAGGGGAAACAAAGTCTCCCCCAAACCCTTCTGGTCCCCCCTAGTGAGTTTATAGACGGTCACCAGGTCCCCCCTCAGCCTTCTCTTGTGAAGGATGAACAGGTTCAGGTCCTGTAGCCTCTCATTGTAGGGTCTGCCCTGCTGTCCCCAGATCATGCGGGTGACCCTCCTCTGGACCCTCTCAATGTTGTCCACATCCCTCTTGAAGTGGGCTGCCCAGAACTGGACACAGTACTCCAGCTGTGGCCTGACCAGTGTTGCGTAAAGGGGGCGGGTCAACTCCTTGGCCCTACTTGAGACGCACCTGTGGATGCACGATAGGGTCCAGTTAGCCCTGCCAACTGTGACCTCGCATTGTCGGCCCATGTTCATCTTGGAGTCATTGATGACTCCATATTCGACCTGGGGGGAAGTGGGCAGCGGAAATAGTCCACAGTCCCAGCTCCATCACTCCTCTGTGACCTTCAGTCATGCATTTCCCTCCACTGCTGCATCCCATGCTCTGCTGCTGCATCCCACACACTGATGCTGCTTCCTGCTTCCTACCGCTTTGTCTCCCCATCCCCAGTGTCTCTGCAGGATGTAGTTTACATTCAATCAGCACAGTTCTACCAGACTGTTCCCCCCAGGGACTACTGGGAGTTGTAGTCCAAATCCACTCAGCAGCACTGCTCTCTCTGCTGTCACACATTCACATTACAGTGCATTACATTCAGTTCACACAAAATAGTATACTTGGTTTCTCATTTCTGCCTCTCACCTTGGCCTGGGATTTGGACTCTACCTCTGGATCTGTGAACTTGGTCCCTGACTTCTGAACCTGGACTCAGACTCTGATTTGACTCTTGTCCTCCCCACAGTGACCTAACCACTAAGCCAGCCTCCTGTGCCCTGCTCCTTACAATGTGTGGGTGCCACATAGATGCATAGGGGGAAACAGAATTGGGCCAGTGTATTCTACCAAATAAAAACAATCCCTCAGTTGCCTTTTTGTACTGTAATAATCAGGTATTTTAGGAAAATAAGCCATAATTTATTAAAGAAATAGCCTGCTTGTGAGTGCTATCTCTGTCACACAAACCCCCAAACACAAATTCTGCATAAGCTTTTCCAAGCAAAATCTACTGTGGGGAAAGGTACACAAGGAAAATCCTGCCCAAAAGCAGAGGGGTATGGAAAGAGTTCAGGGGTTGAAACCCTGGGGTGTCTACACACATGCATCGAGGCAGCTTTGATGCTGGAGAGCATCGGAGCAGACTTGATTAATTGAGTCTGCTGGAGCATTGTAATCCAGCAGACCCCACCATCATATGTATTAGCATCCCCACGCTGAAAAATGTTGGAGATGGTGCTTTCACTAAAGCTCATTTGATGAACTTTAGTTAAAGCACCCATGCCACCATTTTTCAGCTCAGGGACACTAATACACATGACGCTCTAGGTATTTTAATTAGAGTGGTTCTTAGAGCCACTCTAATTAAAATGCACCCCACCGGTGCTTCCTGGAGCATAGAAATAAACACCCCTGGAGTTATACTGGAAAGTATCCCCACACACCTTGTGAAAGAAATCCATTCCAGCCTCCTCTTTTTGTTTTTCTTTTTTTTGGAGGGGGGTTCCTCTTTCCTTTCTCTTTGTCCTGTCTGTCAACCTGGTTGCCCTGGGTTACTGTGTACATGACTGACTGCAGGTATGAGGGAGGGAACTTGACCTCCCTATGGTTTGAGCTCTGACCTCATGACCTGGGGGCAGGGTGTTGAGTCTTGGTCAAGGTGTGATCTTTTCAAATGGGTTGGTCAGCATAAAACAACACCTGGCCTTGATTTGAGCTAGCAGATGAGGTCAGAAGGGCTATTTAAGAGGTCCCCTCTAGGAAGAAGTGGGTGAACATTTTAAAGACACACACTGAGCAGTATGAACTTGAGAAGCCCTCTCTCATACCAAGGATCCAGAAATGAGTAACTTACCAGAAACCAAACTAGAAATTTAGTTGACTGGAATCTAGTCACATGGCAAAAGGCGGAAAAGCCACTCAGATTTCCTCAAGCTGGTTTTCTTTTTATTTTTTGCTATTGGTATTCCTTTCCTTCCCCATCCATCTTTGATCAATAAAATTATTGCTTTTAGCAAGCCTCACTGTGTGAGTTTAAGAGGGAAGGGACTCGCTAAGGTGGGCTCAGCTATTTTACTCTCCTTCCGCACAGGGGGCTGATGGTGAATGCTTCTGACTAACAGAAGCTCCCCAATATCCCAAGGTCTAAAGGACCTGTGTATCCCAGGCAGCACAAGGCCCTGACAAAGACCTGAGTCTGGGTGGTGGCAGTGGTGGCTTGCGGGTGTGCTCCAGGAAGGGGGTCAGCCAGATGTGAGGCACACCAGAGGAGGTACTTGGAGCTTGGTAGGAGTGTTGGTGCAGGAGCACCCCCAAATGGCCCACCACATGAATCCAGCAGACCCAAGTATCATGTGTATCAGAATCCCCATGCTGAAAAATGGTGGCGGTGGTGCTTTAACTAAAGCTTGTTTGATGAACTTTAATAAAAGCATCCTGGCCACCATTTTTCAGTGCAGGCACATTGATACATGTGATGATCTAATTAGAGTGGTTCTTGGAGCCACTCTAATTAAAGTGCACCCCATCCCTGACTCCTGGAGCATGTATATAAACACCCCTGGAGGTATACTGAAAAGTATCTCCCTACACACCTAATTCACTAGAGCTGGAACTCCTGATGAGATAGTGGTTACTCCCACAAATGGATTCTTATGTGCACAAAGTGCATTGCCTCTCAGATTTTGGGGTGTCTGCCTTGATAGTGCTAAGGGCATATTCACTATTTTTACTGCCTCTGTCAGTGCTTTCTTTCTCATGTTCTCTTCCTCCACAGCGAGAAAAACCTGCTCTCAGGAGGACTATGATTTTCAGCTGGTCACCATGGCAGGTTCCAACCTCACTGACATAACACCAACCACATTCATTCTGAATGGCATCCCAGGCCTGGAGGAAGCTCACCTTTGGATCTCTATCCCATTCTGCTCCATGTACCTCATTGCCATGGTAGAGAACTGTGGCCTTCTCTACCTCGTGTGGATTGAGGAGGCTCTGCACAGTCCCATGTACTACTTGCTGTGCATGCTCACACTCACTGACATCGCAGCCAGCACGTCTATGATGCCCAAGGCAATGTGCATCTTCTGGTTCAAGCTCAAAGAGATTGGCTTCAATGCCTGCCTGGCCCAGATGTTCTTCATCTACACATTCACAGGGATGGAGTCTGGTGTGCTCATGCTCATGGCCTTGGACAGATACGTGGCCATCTGTTACCCGCTGAGATATCCCACCATCCTGACCAATCCTATTATTACTGCAGCAGGGGTGGTCACCTTCCTCAGATCAGCAATGGTGGTCATGCCAGTTGTCTTCTTGGCCAGGAGACTGCCATACTGCCGCACTAATGTCATCCCTCACACCTACTGTGATCACATGTCTTTGGTGAAGCTGGCCTGTGCCAGTATCAAGACAGACACTGTCTATGGCCTAGTTGTCACCCTGGTGATTGGGGGCTTAGACATTCTCTGCATCTCAGTCTCCTACATCATGATCCTCAGGGCTGTGGTGGGCCTGTCCTCCAAGGAAGCACGCAGCAAGGCCTTCAGCACCTGCACAGCCCACATCTGTACTATCATCACCACCTACACACCGGCCTTAATCGCCATCATTACACCCCGCATTGGGGGCCACAGCATTGCACCACATGTTCAGGTCCTTATGGCCAATGTCTATCTGCTCCTGCCTGCCATTCTCAACCCCATAATTTATGGGTTAAAGACCAAACAGATCCGGGAAAGCTTCTTCAAGATATTTAAAAGGGGAAAGGCTGGTTCATGTCATGGCACCTGAGCACAGATTCACAAGGCAAGGAAAAAAATGACAACACTTGCAGAGAAAGAGAGAGACCAACTAAGGCAGGATGGAAGGGACAGTCCCCCATACTTGATGCGAAAACCTAGTTCACCCCCAAAAGGTCCTGTATGTTCAGCGTATCCCCAACTCAGCTCTCTAAATACATCCTGGGTCTTTGTGGACTTCCTTTCCTATAGTGGTTATCACATAATGCAGTTCCCAGCTTTTCAGGGTTCAGAGCTTTTTGGCAATATTAACATATATATAGTAGTGTTTACACAATTTATTTCTGGTTATCATCTCCTGTTTTGGATTCAGGACTCATGTCTCTTCCTCATCCACTATCTCCTCTCCTCACTGGTTCCTTTGCTCTCCAGAAACAAGTCTCATCAGAGACAATGACAGGAAACAACATGTGTTTCTATGCAAATGGGGGGAATCCTGAGGGAGCTTACACAAGGACATTATAAATACTCCCCACATTTTAAAGTAGTGGGAAATCTACACCAATTGCATGACCAACTATGAACAAACAACACAGAACACCTTGGTCTTTGGTGAGTGGGCTTTTCATGGGAAGACTTATTCTTTTTATATTCTCTACAGCTCAGTATTGCAATTAGGTTAGATGCTAAGGATGCTTGTATGCATGTTATGCACTTGTTAGTGGTATGTCTCACTACATGTATTGTCCTATAGATAAGCAGGGATCAGGCTTCCAGAAATCCCTGGTTTGAGAAAAGAAAAAGAAAGGAAGGAGGATGAAGTACTAACTTTGGTAGGATGCGAGATGTGGAGAATTAGAGACAAGCAGGAACGTGACATTGCAAATGGAGAAGGAAGTTTGATAAATAATATCAGGCATGCTGGTGGGCCACCTCTGGGCTCCACTGAGTCAGGGACAGCCTCCCCGAAACAGCCACGGAGCAGATAAGAAAGGTGAAGGAAGGTTTGATAAGGTGGGTCTGTAGCTCTGATTCCAGATAGCATGCATCCCAGAGAATAATCATAATATGATAAAGTCAAAGAAGAATCATAGTATCAGAATCAAAGAAGTGTAGGGCTGGAAGGAACCCCAGAAGGTCATTGAGTCCCCCTGCCAGGTCAAGGCGGGATCACCCCTGACCAAATCGACCGTGTGTCTTCTACCCTGTTCTTAAAAATCCAGGAAGAAACTACAAAGCACAACCCCTGAACCCTCCAAAAAAAAAAATAACACCCCAGTTGCTACAGGGAGATCAGGGGGATGAGACGATGTAATGAGAAATTTAGGGAAGCCAAAAAGGGCCAAAAAGAGGGATTCTTGACTGGCATCAACTGACATTGCTCAAGCCAGCCAGCATGGGACAGATAGAATGTCACCCTCATGAATAGTAGGGTTTGGGTTTTTTTGTCATTATAGTATTTATTAATTTCCATATTATAACAATAAGATAAACCCAATAAAAACAATAAAATATAAGTAATATAGAATAGAAAGCAAAACCAAAGTATTGTAAAATAGATAATTAAACATACTTACTATAAATTTAGTAAAAATTAGGAGATGGAGAGAACTTGACATTGTATACAACCATAAATTCATAGATTCATAGATTGTTAGGGACTGGAAGGGACCTTGCAGATCATCAGGTCCAGCCCCCACTCTAGGCAGGAAGACAACTGGGGTTAGGTGACCCCAGCAAGGTGACTGTCTAATCTCCTCTTGAAAACCTCCAGGGTAGGTGATTGCACCATCTCTGGAGGGAGTTTATTCCACAGTCTAGACACCCTGACTGTGAAGAAGTTTTTCCGGTATTAAACCTAAAGTGGCCTTTAAGGAGTTTGTACCCATTGGTCCTGGTCTTCCCAAAGTGTGCCCTAGTGAACAGTTGCTCATGGAGCTCCTGATGCACTCCTCTGATATAGCAGTAAGCTGCTATCAAATCCCCTCTCAACCTTCTCTTCTTTAGGCAAAAGGGGCCCAGGTCCCTCAGCCTTTCCTTGTCTGGCTTGCCTTGCAAGTCCCTGATCATATGGGTGGATCTTTTCTGGACCCTCTCAAGTTTTTCCATGTCCTTATTGAAATGCGGTGCCCAGAACTGGATGCACTACTCCAGCTGCAGTCTTATCAGTGTTGAGTACAGCAGGAGTATCACTCCCTTAGATTTACATGAGATGCATCGGTTGATGCATGCCAGCGTGTTTTTTGCCCTGCTGACCACCACCTTGCACTGATGGCTCATATTCATATGATGGTCAGTCATTACCCCTAGGTCCCTTTTGGTCTTGGTGCAAGTCAGGCTTTCACCACCAAGCCTGTATGTGTCTCGAGGGTTGTTTGCCCCCAGATAGAGCACCTTGCACTTGGAAGTCTTAAACTTTATGTGATTCCAGTCTGCTCAGCTCTCGAGCCTGCCCAGGTCTGCCTGTATCTGCAACTGATCTTCTGACATGACCACACTGCCCCATAACTTGGTGTCATTTGTGAACTTGGCCAGCAAGCTTTTCACTCCCCATCCAAATCATTGATAAAGATGTTGAAAAGCACTGGTCCAAACACGGACCCCTGAGGGACACCACTGACCACTTTGAGCCAAGATGATCTGGATCCATTCATGAGAACTCTCTGGGTCCTACCCTGTAGCCAGTTTCCCACCCACTGAGCCATCAAGCAGCTGAGCCCACAATCTTCCACTTTTCCCACAAGGATATCATAGGATACTATATGAAAAGCCTTTTGGAAGTCTAGGTATATAACATCTACCTCGTCTCCCATGTCCATGTGATGAGAGACCTGGTCGTAGAAGGAGATGAGATTGGTAAGACAAGACCTACCAGCAACAAAGCCATTCTGGCTGTCATTCAGAATCTTACCTGCTGTGAGCGTATCGTACATAAATTCTTTAATGAGCTTTTCCAGGATTTTCCCTGAGATGGAGGTGAGGCTGATTGGCCTATAGTTGCCCGGGTCCTCCCTCTTCCCCTTCTTGAATATGGGCTTCCCCTTCTTCAAATATACATATCAATATACATATACCTTTAAAGGATACCAAACCACAAACAAATCAACTTAAAAACTTAATAGAAGTTTCATATTGCATCATATTTCTTCATATTGAGCCCAGTCTATTTACATATGTAATATTTTCCATTAATGCAACATGCATAAGTTCTTTTAACCACTCCAAGAATGAAGGTATGCTGGGAGTTTTCCATTTCTTGTAAATTATCAGTTCAGATACCAAAAAACATTATAGCCAGCCATTTTTTCATGGGCACAGACTATGGTAATGAATCCATAATCCCCAGTGTGCATAAATCTGGTGACTGGACCATGTTAATTTTAAGTACCTTAGTGCTAACATACACTAAATGAAAAACTAGTAATTTTAGGACAAAATTATAAAGATGACTAAGAGAGACAACTTGGTTTCCACTTCTCCAGCAATAGTCATCCAAAGCTAGCTTTGCTTTAAATAATCTCTCTGGGGACCAAGAAAATCTATTGAAGATCTTGTTGTGAAAACATTTTAAAAGCAAGGAATTAGATGTTTTGCAAAGTTATTTCCAGATAATATCCCATTTCTCAACTGTTAACAATAGGCATGTATACACATCACCCTACAACAGCGTCGCTACAGCACCTTTTGGAAGTACTAAAGCATGGTGAGGTATGGGCAATGATTGCTACGTCACCATGGCACACCGCTGTGTCTCCATAGGGCAACATGTAGACGTGCCCAATATCTGTAACTCCTTTTCCCATTTACCTTTAATGTTAACATCTGCTGGATATCATAATTTATTAAACCATTTGTTTTACCAACAAAGCGAGGTTTATCCTTAGAGCACACCACATCTGTTTCCAAATCTGTATGTGATAAATTATTCCATATATTCCCATATGTCTTATTCAGCTGAGCACAAAGATTTTGTAGAATGCATCCTGTTTGTTACATAACTGAAATTTATCATGTATATAAGCAAAAGTTGCAAGATTATCATCCTTAACTATGGATTTTATGGTAGCTATAACTTTTTTTCCCCAAATATCTGAGATTCCTTTCTTACCTTTAAATGTCAATTGAGGGTGTCCCCAGAAAGGAATTAAAGGAGATTTTGTTAAATCAGAAGATGTTCCGGCTTTAATTTTCTGCAATGCACTCCATGAAGAGTTAAATATGATGTTTAATTTCAGAGCTCTGGGTAAACTCTTCAGAAATAGAAATGAGCATAAGGATCCAAACTTGGAAGCTAACTTTTCTTTCATGCTCAACCATATGGGTTTGTTCCCTGAAATAGTTTCATACATCTAATATTTAAGCAACCTCATATGTAAAGCCAGATAATATAAATAGAAATCTGGGACACCCACTCCACAATGGTACCAGGCCCTTTTAAGGGCTTTCATAGCCATTTTTGTTTTTTTATACTGACATATGAAGTTGAAAACCATTTTATTTATACACTTAAAACCAGATGATGATATTTTCAAGGGCAATAAATTGAGTATATAGTTAATTCTGGGACACACATTCAATTTGATTATTTCTATTCCTCCTATTAATGACATTATAGAAAGGGTTTTCCATCTTTCCATATTGTTTTAATATTAGTTAAAATTGTATCAATATTTATATGCACCATATTGTAAAGATTTGAGCATACCTGTTTGTTTAAGTAGTCTATTCCCTTCCATGTCCTTAGCTGAGAATGATAACATTTGGATGGATCTGTTCTCTTTGATATATTCATATAAGAGAACATAATCCAATTGATCTTGAGGCCTGGTAACTGATGAAATGACTCAAAAAGAGCTAATATATGAGCTAATGAATTACCTGGGTTTTTTCAACAGAATTAGGATATCATCTTCACATACATTGATTTTATACATTTGATTAAGAATCCTGATCCCCTCAATGTGAGTTGATTGCCTATTAGCTTCTACCAAAGGCTCCAATGCTAACTGGAATAAGAGTGGAGAAATAGGACATCTCTGACGCTTGCCTCTT